TGACGTGCACCTCCAGCTCGATGAAACACTTGCACGGCTGGTTGGGTGCAAGAGCACCTGTGAGCATCGTGAAAGAAACCCTTCTGCTTTCAGCCTCTAGGGCTAGAGGCTTATGACAGGCTCTGTGCTTGCCGGAGTAGAGGACGTGCGCGTCGGTCATCTGCTTCACGGCGAGACGATTCCAATCTGAACCGTGAATGCCGAAAATCACGGTCCTGGTGCCTGCGCACTTGGCGCGGGAATATCAACTGGGCAGAGAGTCGATGAGTCGAGGACGTGGTGAACCTCGTCCATGTTCGCGTCGCGCGTGATCCACACCGTGCTGTAGTTGATGATAGGAGACGTGAGATCCGATCACGACCGAACTGCACAATCAAAGTCGGCGTTGGTGATGACATCGCAGCCGTGGTCCTGCAGCGCTCGCGACGCGCCCCGCCCCGGTGCTAGAACCCAGGCGTGACATCCTGAGCCCGTTGCCCTCCTATGCCGGGACAGGTCGGCAGGGCCAGCCTTGTTGGTCGGCCCAGCAATTCCCTAGTGGGTCGGCTCCGCAAGGCAGTCGGCAAAATAATTGTCTTTCTGACCTGCGGAGGCAAGGATGGCCACATCGCTTGCCATGGTGTCGTGACTGAAGTAAGTCATGCCAGTGCATCCAAAACCACCTGATCGCCTAGACGATGTAGGTAGGCTGGGGACGACCACGCTCTCGGCGTCGTCGTATCGTTCCAGAATGAGCAGGGCGACGCGGCGGCCCTGCTCGACGACGTGGGTCCGCGGGGTGGAATTGCACACAATGATTTTGACCTCCCCGAACGAGTCGGGGCCCACCGCGCCGCCAGATGTCGATGCCCTTGAGCTCGAGACCTGAACGTAGGACAATACGCACGCATGTGCCCGATGATGCTAGTGCTGCTATGCCGGTGGTTACCAATTCCCGACCACAAGTCAGACTTCTGGCGTCGGAGCTGGCGCACAGGTCGTAACCGGCAGAGCCGGTGGTGCTTCGTGTTGAGAAGTTTGACATGTAGCTCGTTGAATTCTCGCTCGTCGGCCTCGTGGTGACCCTTATCCTCTTTGCCTGCCGCCAGCTGCGCGAGCTGCTTATGCGGGCCCCGGAGGGTGGCTGGAGCTTGCTGAAGTCGTCGACTGGGGCGCACAGGCGCCCGCTCGGGGCGCGCTCCTAGTCGAAATGAAATCGCACCTGGGCCCCAGGTGAGCATGGCCGCCCGGCCCGGGGAAGGCGAGGCGCGCGGGGTTTACGCCTGTCTCCACCACCCCGCTGTTGGACCGCATGGATTGTACACCTAGCAAGGCAGGAAGAGCATCGCCTGCGATCTCCACGGTTCGAGCACGCATGCCGCGTTGCGTGGTCTCACCATCGCGCGATGTTGTGGCGATCGGGCAATGGATTCCCCAGTTCCCACCATGCGCCCCGTTGACCATTCCTGCCACATACGATGGAGCAGACAATCTCTCCCAGAGGCTGGAGCTTCGCCTGCATGGCTCGCCAGGCCACGCCCTGGACGAATGCCTGCCCCAGGACTTAGCCCAATCGCTGGCGTCAACGGCGATGCCTAACCGGCCGCCTGAAAATTACGCGCGCGCCAGGTAGCACGGCGACTCGCCCCGGGAACTCGAGCCTGTACCTGGCGAAGTCAGCCACCACGGGAGCGCAGGCCCATGTGATGTTGTACCAGGTGCTGAAGCTGGCCGAGGAGAGGGCGCCGTGTCCTGCTGCGGCGGCGTCTCTGGCGACGCGTCTCCTGCCTGTGCGTCACGGGCTGGCACAATATGCGGTGGACCCGCGCTTGCACGATCTGCGCCAACGCAATGGAAGGAGGCGATGACGTCGGCCGGACCGCGGCACGCTGGGCAGAAACCAAGCTGGCGCCGATGTTCTGAATAGGTTGCAGGTGGCATAGTCGGCGCAAGATGAGCCCGCATTGCAGTCGTACAACCTTCTCGCCGTGGACGAATGCCTCGAGACAAATGGGGCACTCCCTATCGTCGCCGTTGACAGCTGCGACTGTGGGAGGTGCAGCTGGCGCTGCTACTGGTACAGGAAAAAGGTTAGTCGGCGTCTTGGCCAAATGCCGCGCGGCTGGGCGATGCTGGTCTGCCTGCTGCTGGAGTAGCTCCAGTGCCAGCTGTGTGCTGTGGAGCTCGTCGAGGTGTCGTCGTTGGGCACAGCCGAGAATGGAGTGAGTGCACGCTGCGCTCGGACCGGTTGCCGCCGGACACCCATGTCGCGCGGCCGGCAAACCACGCGCCACTCTCCCCGATTGTTGGCCCACGCCCACTGGCCTGTCTGCGTTGAACAGGTCGCCCAATCCAGGGGGAGCGCCCTGCACTGGTGGCGGCGAGGATGCCAGCACCGATTGCGAAGGCCAAATGGAACTCGATCCGCGCGACGAGCCGATGCCGAGCGAGGCCGCCAGCGGCGCGCACATAGGGCCAAATCCAGAAGCTGCGCGTCGGCAGTAGGCGGCGCGGGAGCTGCGGCCACGCGCGGAGACCGCCCAGCCAGTCGCGCCCGCGGTCCTGTCCCAGCGAGACTGCACAGCGAAGGCGAGTCCGCTGTGGCAGCGTAGGCGGTGCTGCTGGAGCCGTTGGCGCCGCGGGCGCGGCCGACGCCGGCCCCCCCGCCGCTGCCCGGCGGAACCGCGCCACAGTTGCGGAACCCTGCGGCTGAGCACAGGCTTGCACGCGGCCCATGAGATCGCCCATCTCCCGCCGTAGTCGTCGCACCCCAGCGTCGCGGGGGCTGGGCGGCGACGACGGGGGCGCCGCGCCCGCCCAGCGTGACCACTGACTATGGCCAACCTGTCGCCTCGCACCATCGGACGACGAACTTGGCGGAGTAGCTGCTGCGACCGCTGCCGCTGGCCGCGGCGCCGGCGACGCTGGCGCGGGCTGTCCGCCACCCCAGGAGCCAGCACGCTGCGCGGGATTACTCGCGCCCGGGCACGCAGACAGAGTAAACCCATGGCTGGCGGAGCCCCTGGTCATCCAAGCCAAATGCGCGCTCGTCGGGGGCTGCCGCCCAGCTTGGCTCGGTGGCCCATGCTGCCCAAGAGCCGATAGCGGCGCGGATGCCAATGACGCTGGGGCGTAGGCGCCGAGGCAAAGAGCGCGTCCTCGGCGACGGCGCCAAGGGCAATGACGCACGAAGTGTTCCTCTGAGTCGCACTTGCGTCATGCGAGTCGCACCCCGCCAGGGCCCTCGGGGCCGCCGCGACGGCCCAAACCCATGCTACTGGTCCTGAATCTCGCTTTCCCTTCACCCTTGCCCACCCCGGAGCCCGCGAATGTCTCTCGGAAGTCATTATTGCATAAGTCGGCCCGGATGGCTTGGTGGCACTTACCGTGGCCCTCGCCCTTCCTCTCTACGACCCCCTGGACGCGGCGCGTGGGCTCGCGCTTGTCGAAGCGTCGCCATCGTACTTCGGCGTGCTCGCGAGCCCAGAAAGAGCGCGCGCCTCGCTGTGCCACAGGAACATCGCATAGCTCGGGATCGTCGGCGGCTATCTCTCCTTCACCGAACGAGCTGATGATGTCGGTGTCGAGGCCTAAGTCGATAGCAGCTGCCGGCAATGCCTCCTGCGCTAATGGTGCTGGCGCATGCGGGGCTCGGCGCCGCCCCCAATGCTGATGGGCCCAGGCCGTCCCAGCTAGATCAAGCTGTAATGTCGTAGACAAGCTGAGCCTGATTTTGCGCGGGTGTACCAGTGAGGGAGGCGCGCTGTTGGGCTGAGTGCCCCGCTGAGGCGAGATTGCCAGGCGATCCCTCAATCATGTGCCCAAAGCATCGCAGTTGACCCGTGACATATGCGAGCTGCGCTGCGGTGGTCGGGCATGCCATGTTGTCGTGCTGCAAAACCACGGTCAGCCGCACGTTTCAGCCTACCACCGCGTGCAAGAGGAGGAAGCCGAGACCCTCGTAGCCGATCGTTCATTCACCAGCTTGCTGGGCGCGGTCGCGGAGAATGTCGAAACGTGCGAGGGGTTATCGACGCGCCTCTGCAACAGATTGTTGGAACTGCCGAGGTGCGTTCCTCCTCGCCCAGTTGGCCCCAACGTTCCGCCGACCTGTGCATCAGGACGGTCATCGGTGGCGCTGGATTGCCGTTGATGGCAGTTCCCTCCACGAGGACAGCTGGCGGCCACTCGCCCACGCATCCTCGGACCATGCTGGTGAGACGAGATGAAACGTAGGCCGCCTGACGAAACTCGTGGAGGTCCGAGTTCGCCACTGACCAAATCATCGCGCCCATCGTTGGGAGGGAACCCGAGACTGCTGCTCGGGCCCTCAAGTGCGGAGGCGCCGCATGCTGCCGTTGTCGCCACCTGCGTCCATGTCCCTGATGTTCAACCGCAAGCCAAACCTGTAGTACGGAGAGCGACTCCAACTTATTTGGAGTACGGCCCACGGGAGAAGCAGGCAGCGGCGGCGGGTGGGCGCAGAGGTCCTTGACTCCTTGATGACTGGCTCGTTCTGGTATGTGTCCGCCTCGTCACTCGTCTTGGCGAGCGGGAAGTGGATGAATACGAATAGCAAGAAGAGCTGGATCATCCTTGCCAAACACGGTGGGGAGGATGGGGCAAGAGCCGACGAGCAAAGGACTGGCGACGAATAGCAGTGGAAGACAACCGGTGTCCAGCTACCAACTATGAAACGGGCGTACGTTACGCGATTTTTTACGCATCTGATATAGACACGGAGGTCGGCCGACCTCCGTACTCGAGCCAAAACGGCAGCGGAAAAGTGAGAACGTTAAGACAGGCAAGACCAGCAATACAGTATGGAGACCTACCTTTCGAGTGCGGCGACGACGAAAAAGAAGACGAGGAAGACGAGGAAATCGAGGACGACGAGGACGAGGACGACAACGCGACGACGACAACGACGACGACGACGACGACGACGACGACGACGAGGACGACGACGACGACGACGACGACGACGACGACGACGAGGACGACGGCGGCGACGAAAGCGCCTCGGCGGTGGCCCAATCCAGGTCGCAGAGCGTCACGACGCCGCTGCCGGCGGCGTCGAGCTCCTGCCACAGGGCCCGCAGGCTGCCGGTGATGCCCATGGGCCGCAGGGCCTCGAGGAGCTGCGCCTCGGGCTACGGGCGGCGAGCGTAACCAATAGGTGGCGACATTCGAGCCCTACCTTGGCGGCGCGCAAGGGGGTAGGGGGAGGGGGGAAGGCTTCTTTCAAGGAGGCTGTTTCTTAGAAGGCGGGCGCCTTACGTCTGTAGAGAAGGCCCGCGTCTTCTAAGAAGCAGGGGTGCTTCTAAGACGCCGTCCCCCCTCCCCCCACCCCCTCTGCGCGTGGCCGACTACCCCCACCAACCATCGAGCCTCCTCGATCGATGGGAGGCGGGGGTACGGTTCGGATTCCGCCACGTGTTCGACGAATTATGGGTCCCTACCCCCGCCGCCCATCGAGCGGCCTGCATCGTCGATCGGCGAGGGTCGGGTTCGGATTTCGCCGCCGAGCCATGTCCACGCCCTCGGAGTCTGGATTTTTGGACCGCGATCTCGTGGATACCCTGAGATCTGGGCGTTGCAACTCTTACACACCAGGCGTTTTCGCCCGGTCCCAGGACCATCGCGGATCGATCCCGCTCTAGAAACGCCGCAGAAAAAATGGATCTGGGATTCTGGTCGCACGTCTTCAGGATGCTGCAACCAGAAGCGCACGGGGGCGAGCCCTGGGAAGACCAAAACTCCACACGTGTTGCAGCACGGCAGAGGCGATCCGCACGGGCGTTCGAACTGTCGGGGGCACGCGACTGACCAATTGCCCGGCTGCAGAAGAGGGAGCGCGTGAAAGAGGAGCGGCCGCAGAGGACAGGAAGGAGGAGGAGGAGGGCACGCGCTGCCGAGAGCATCTCAGGCCAGAGACAGGCTGTGCAGGACAGGAGCAAGACGACGGGGGCCACGGGGGAAGCAGAGAGGAAAACTGGGACAGCACACATCTTTTGCTTTGACTCGCGGGTCGAGAGCGCACCTCTTCCGGTCGAAGCTAAGCGGGCCGCGCGAAGCTTGAATTATAACATGGAGGGGGAGGAAGGGTGGCGGGGACAGCACGCATACCCACGCTGAGACCTGGGCGCCCCTGCGAGGGCGCAACGGCAAGCCCTTCACCATATCCGGCCTCCGTGCGCCCGCCCCCGGGGCCCTGGAGCCGTCACGAGCGGCTCGGGGTGAAAAGCCCGGTCTGGGGAAGGGGTCGAGGCCTTCCACGTGGCGAGAGAGCCCCAAACACGAAGGGGCCCCAGGACACACAAGTAAATGCACACAAATAAAAAGATTCCCCATATTTTCCCATCTTTTCTGGGCTTCTGTCTCGCCCCCCACTTCCCATAGTTTCCCATATTTTCTGGGGAATCGACGATTAATTGTGTCTGTGCGTTTTTTCCCCTCCTGAAAACACGCGACGCAGATGGACTCTGTACACACGGGGCCCCCGGAAGTCCGAGCCCTTCCCCCAGGGCCAGCCTCGCGTCTTGGGTCGTGCTGTGCTGGCGGCCCCGGGAGCCGTGTCGAGGGCCCCAAGGGGCCGAGGGCCGCCAAAAGCCGTGCAGCTTGATCTTGTCACGCCGCGAGCATGTCCAGGTGGGCGCCGCCACGGCACCTCCCCCGAGATCCCACGTCGCGGAAGAACGGCAACGCTGTGAAAGAGGCCACGACCGAAGCCCTGGGCCCCGTCCTTCTGCAGCACTTCTCGAGCCCGGCCGATCTGGGGTAGCCCCAGGGCCCGAGGCTGGGCCAGCACGCCAGGTGCTTGACAAGACTGCAGCGCCCGGATCCCAGGGGAGCCCACTCCCGGCCCCGACCCCCGACGTCCTGTTGCTTCACAGCGCCGTCGAACCCCAGAGGCCTCGACCGCATCCCCAGCACCTGTTTTCCGTCCCGGGTCGTGCCTCGACGGCCCCGAGGCCCAGCAGAGGCCCCCAGAGGCCGAAACTTGAAAACCTCCCGTCGCGATTTGTTCATGACCGGAGGCCTCACAAATTGAGTCCGAGCACATGGGATCGGAGGATCGCGCCGCATCACCAACGCCTCGCCGATGCATCGGCGATGCGTTGGAGAACAGGTTGGGCTTGACATCGAGCCGTATCGCCGATGCATTACCGATACATCGGCGATGCGGTGCCGTCCTCCGATCCCCTCTACTCGGACCCCATCCCAGACCTCCGACGTCGTGATTAGTTGGCAACGTCGACCCCCAGAGGTGTGGACCCCTTCCCCAGGACCGCTTCCTCGCCCCGAGTCGCTTCTGGGGAAACCAACAGCTGCCAATACCGCTGCTCCCTGGACCCCTCCCGGGGTGCGTTCTGACCAGGACTTGGAGGCGAACACAGCGGCGGCGGCGAGAGCCTCCCAGGCGGCCCGAAAAGGGGGACACAGGCGAAAGGTAGAGGTGCGGTTACCTTTTCCTCCTCTGAGTTTCCCGACGGCCTGGAGGCCCGGCGACGGCCTCCAGAGGCCGAACACAGCGAAAAACCTTCCGCGGTGATGTTGTTGTCAGCGCGAGAGGGTCTGGCTCCTCCGGCCCCTTCTGCTCGGACCCCATCTAAAAGGCCCAAGACGACTCGAGGGGCTCTGGGGGCCCAGTCCCAAGAGGGGCAGGAGGGAGAGGAGGAGGAGGAGGAGGAGGAGGAGGAGGAGGAGGAGGAGGAGGAGGAGGAGGATAAGGAGGAGGACTAGTGTAAACCCAAGAGCCATCAACGATGTTGGAATACACCCGCCCTCCTAGCTCCCTCTTCATAGGCCCCTACAGCGGTTCATTTCCATTGAGGGATCTGCCTCGCTGGAAGACAACCGTTTGAAGACCCAGACGCATGCTAAAACATGATTCTCAGCGCCACGGATCAACCTGACTGTTGCGTCTTGACATCCTGGATCGTGCCAGAACGCCATTCTTGGGACTTCAACGCTTCGAATCAACATGAATGTTGCACCCGCAAAATCCTGAATCCCTCCAAAACACCATTTCTGGTACGTGGATCGTGGGAATCCGTAAAACTCATGTAAATTGTATGAACAAATATGCACGGCGCTAATACGAGAACCGCATTTTGAAAAAGAACTGCCCTCAATCCGTGAAAATCTTTCAATTGTTTAGAACGGATGTGCGCTGCGCTAAGGCGAGACGCACATTTTGAAAACGGGTTATTCTCAATCCGTGAAACTCTTACCATCATTTAAAACGAGTGTGCGCGGCGCTAAGGCGAGAGCCATATTTTCAAAGCGGGTCATCCTCAATCCTTGAAACTCTTACCATTATTTAAAACGAGTGTGCGCAGCGCTAAGGCGAGAGCCACATTTTGAAAACCACCCGCCCTCCATCTGTGAAATTGTTGCCATTTGTTTAGCTTCAGAGTCATGCATGGTGAGGAAGTCTCAGTCGAATCGCCTGGTCCACCCTAAAAAATGGCCTCGGGATGCGACAGAGAAAAGTTGTTAAAAAGGAAAAGTAATGGAGGAGCAGGAGGAGGAGGAGGAGGAGGAGGAGGAGGAGGAGGGAGGAGAGGGAGGAGGAGGAGGGAGGGAGGGAGGAGGAGGAGGAGGAGGAGAGGAGGAGGAGGGAGGAGGAGGAGGAGGAGGAGGAGGAGAGGAGGAGGAGGGAGGAGGAGGAGAAGAGGACGAGGAGGAGGGAGGAGGGAGGAGGTGGAGGGAGGGAGAGGAGGAGGAGGAGGAGGAGGAGGAGGAGGACAAGGAGGAGGACAAGGAGGAGGAGGAGGAGGAGGAGGAGGGAGAAGGAGGAGGAGGGAGGAGGAGGGGCTCTGGGGGCCCAAACCCTCGGCCCACAAGCCACCCCCCCTCCCCGGCCGGGCCGGGCGCGGACATGCCCCCAGGAGAGCGGGCACAGGGGCGGACCACCGCCGAGGAAGCGCTCGGCACGTGGTGCGGCACGCCGGGCCCACGCCACGACGCCGCCGGCCGTTGGCTTCTGAGCCGCGCGGATGCCCCGACCAAGACATGCTCGCGTCGGCCTGCCAGCTTCGGGGCGCGCTCCAACGGCTGCGCTTCGCCGACGGCGCACCGGGCGCGGTATCGGCGACGCACGGGCGATCGGGGGCCGAGGCACCCTCCCCCCCCCCTTGGGTGGCTGGGTATGCGGGGCGCCGCCGGGTCGGCCGGGGTGCGCGCAGCCCGGCGGAGAGAGGAGCTCAGGGCCCCGGCGTCGCGGCATGCTCGCACCGTGGAAGAGTCGGCGGCGAGCCCGCCCGGAAGAGGGGGGGTCAGTGAGACAGGACGGGCCCTCCCAGGAGGCTCGCAAGTCCCCGGGCCTTCTGAGAAGTGTTCTGAGCCTTCCCCCAAGGCACGGAAGACCTCTCAGAAGGCCGGAGGGCTTCTGAGAACCCCTGCCGCCTTCTGAGAAGGCCGTTTCCTTCTCACTTCCCCCCTCGCTCGCCGCCGAAAAAAAACGACGGCTGGTTCTTTGCTATTGTCGGCCTCTGGGAGCTCTCGCCAAGCCCCAGGACCGTCAAAAATCAGAAGAAACGGAATGAAAACGAGAAGTGTCGGGACTTCCTGGGCCCCCATATTGAAAAAAACAAGACGTCGGATGTCTGGGGGTGCGTGTGGGAGGTTATCACACTCACGTACGCGTCCGCCTAGGCGTTCATTTTGTCTGGGAACCTTCAGCGACCTCGGCTCCCCCATGGCGCAGACCCAGAAGCGTTTTGTTCATCCCGTGCCGAGTTCTGACGACCCCGGGGCCCAGCGAGGACCCCCAGAGGCTGCAAGTTTCCGAAAAAGCTCCCGTCGTGATTGTTGCCACGACGCGGGCTGCGAGCCCGGGGGGGAAGTGAGAAGAGGCGGGCCTTCTCAGAAGGCTCGGAAGTCCCCCAGCCTTCTGAGAATTTGTCCAAGCCTTTACCGAAGACGCAGAAAACTTCTCAGAAGGCTTCTGAGAAGTCCCGCCGCCTTTTGAGAACGCCTTCTCCTTCTCGCTTCCCCCCTCTTGCTTTGGCGTCATAACTCGGATCTCTGGCGGGCGTTCGGGACGATCTGGGCACCCCCGGAAGGCCCGCGGCGAGGCGCAGCTGCTGGCAAGCATCCCGACGCTGGAGGAGGAGGAGGAGGAGGAGGAGGAGGAGGAGGAGAGGAGGAGGAGGAGGAGGAGGAGGAGGAGGAGGAGGGGGAGGAGCAGGAGGAGGAGGAGGAGGAGGCCGAAAACCTCGAACCTCGAAACCTCCCTCGCTCGCCGCCGACTTCGGGAAAGCCCTCGAGCCCTCGAGGGAGCCCTCGCCTGCCGCCGAGCACGTCTCTCTCCCTCTTTCTCTCCCTCCCGAAGGCCTGCGTGAGCCGCATCGAGGCGCCCGGGTCGAGCCGGCGCCTCTCGTGTGGGGTGGGGGGGGGGGAGGGGGCTCCTCCCCCCTCCTCCTCCTCCTCCTCCCCTCCTCCTCCTCCTCCTCCTCCTCCTCCTCCTCCTCCTCCTCCTCCTCCTCCTCATCCTCCTCCTCCGCCTCCTCCGCCTCCAGGGCAGAGCACCATGGCCCACGGCCTCGCGGTGCCCAGGGCCCCCTCGGCCGCGAGCCCCACGCGGGCACCCGAGGGGAGGCTCTCGGCGCGGGTGCGGCGCGCGTCCGCGGGATCGCGGCCTCGGCGCCCTGAGATCTGGGCAGGAAGAGCCCGAAATCGAACCGATAAGTCTGGTCGGCGATCGAAACGAATCGGCTCGGCGGAAGTCGGCAGCCGAGTCGGGAGAAGTCGAATCGGCGGGAATCGGCAGGCTAGTACGCGTCCAATAAGAAATCGGAACCCGAATCGGAATCCCAAGACCAATCGAATCGGAATCGGAAGCTATCGAAATCGCATCGAATCGAATCGGAAAAATCGAACCGAGCCATATCTGAGCGCTGTCACCTTTTCCTACGCGGGGCGACTGGAGCCCGACCGAGGTCGGGACCCGGGACCATCGCAGATCGATCCGGCGCAAGAAGTGCCACAGGAAGATGAGGTCTGGAGCTCTGGTCGAGACCTTCCGCGATGCTGCCAGGGGTGACCCCTGGGCGGTGGCACGCCCGGGGCGCTCGGGCGTGCCACCGCCCAGGGAGTCGGCCACCGCCGATGGGTTCTCGGCGGTGGGTGGTCTCTCTGTCCTCTGGACGGGCACATGCCCAGACTTTCGATGTCTTGGCTCCTTCCATGCGGGCTCCCCAGAAGTCCCGACCCCGTCCCCAGGGCCTGCTCTCCGTCCTGGGCCGTGTCCTGCCGGCCCCGCGGCCGGGCGAGGGCCCTCCGAGATCAAGAGCTGCCGAGAAAGCCTTCAGTCGTGAATTCTGCCACGACGCAAGCATTGCCTGGTTTTCGGGTCACACTCGGGCCTCCGGCGGCCGTTCCAGGCGATCCGAGCACCCTCGGAAAACCCTCGGCAAAGCCCTGCTGCACAGCTGCCGATGAGGCGCCCCGAGGCTGGAAGACTGCCGAGAACACACGAAGACCTCCGCCCAGGCACCACGCGAGAATGCCTGGGTGGACTCCCTTCTGAACGGAGACATTGGGGAAATCAGAAGGTACCGACTGCCGAGGACATCCCAGGAGGCCGAAGAAGGGGAATAACCGCCGAAGGGTAGAGGTATGGGTACCTCTTTCTCCTCTGACACATGGGCACGGCTCGCCCGCTCCGTGGAGCCTCCACGCGCACGCGAGGCTCGGCTCGCGCCGCAGCAGCTCGGCGCGCAGCTCGGCCAGCGCCGCCCCGGACTCGCTGCCGTGCGCCTCCCGCTCGCGCCGACCGGCGTGCTGGCGGCCATCCTCGTGCACCGTCCGTCTCGAGCGCGCGGAGATGCGGCTGCTGGAGCACACCTGGGGAGGAGAGAGAGGTGTGCGCGTGCACCGATCCTGGCCAGGCCCATCCCGGGCCCAGGCGCGGCGCATGCGCTCTCGTGGCTGGGCCAGGTGGGCAAGCGTGATCCTGGGCCGAGAGTTCACATCCCCCCCCACGCCAGATGGCATGAAGCCCCAGGATTCGCCAGGCCCCCCCCCCCCCACCCCCAGATGGAATGGGGGGGGCGACGCTGACACCGACGACGACGACGAACAACCCCACACCCGCAGGGCGAGGGAGGGTTCACTGGCACCCACCACTACGCCACGCCCACAGGGCCACGACCACAGGGAGGGGGGGGAAATCCCATGCGCGAGGCCTTCGCGAGGCTCACGGGCGCATCCATCCAGGGGAGGGGGAGGTGATTCCATCAGCATGGGGGGGCAGATCCCTGGATGATGCAAAAACAAACACAAGCACACATACATGCATACAGACATACATGCATGCATACATACATGCATGCATGCATGCATCCATGCATGCATCCATGCATGCATACATACATCCATAGATGCATGCGCACCTACATACACATACGTACGTACGTACGTACGTACATACGTACGTACATCCATACACGCACACATATATATACATATATATATATACACCCACATGCTTCTATATATATATATATATATATATATATATATATATGTGTGCATGCATGCATATACACGTTCACACGTACATACGTACATACGTACGCACATACATATACACACATGCATGCATAAATGATTGTTTCATATATGCATGCACGTATGCATGCATGAATGCATACATACATGCATGCATGCGTGTATGCATGAATACATACGTGCACATGCGCTAACCTATAGACATATATACATGCATACATACAGACATACATACATGGATATACGAACGCATGCATGCATGCATACATATATACATACATACACACAGGCATGCACTAATGCATGCATGCGTACATGTAAACATACATACATACGCACACACATATGTATATGCACATACATGTATACATACATACATACATACATACATACATACATACATACATACATACATACATTCATGCATGCATACACACACATACATATACATATGTGCATACACACATGCACGCACACACATACATACATACATGCATGCATACATACATACATATATACCTATAGACAAGCATACACACATACACACATGCATGCATACATACAATTACCATTAGATATACTCATATACATAAACATATGCATGTACCAGTACCTAAACATATACATATACATATGCAAATGCATGTACATATACGTATACAAATACATACACCTATACATGCGCGCACGCACACATGCATGCATACACACATCCACACATACATACATGCATGCATGCATACATACATGCATACACGAAGTGCATGCATACATACATGCATACACGAAGACATACATGCATGCATGCATACCTAAACACGTACACACCTATATACATGTATATGAATGCAGACATGCATGCACATATACATATATGCATACAAACGTGCATACATGCATGTATGCATACATACATGCATGCATACAGTCATACAAACATACGTACATACAGACATGTATGCATACATTCATATGCATAGATACATAAATGCATACACATATACACACAAATACATATGTATATATATATATATGTACCACGAGACATGCCTAAACATACATATATATATATATATATGTACATGCATACATGCACGCATATCAGCATGCTCACGTATATACATACATTCCCATAGGTCGCAAAATGTGGGTGGGAACAGGAAGTAGGAAGGCGTTGGGAGTAGATTGGGTCCCCTCCCGCCCCCTGGAGACTGATAACGAAGGACCAAGGAGAAGCAGATTGAAATCTGGGAATCCATAAAAACATATGTTCAATGACCGACGGGTACCGATCCTGGGCACAGGATCCTGGGCACAGGATGGGCCTGGCCACGATCGGTGCGCGTGCGCCTGCCTCCGCGCCCGAGCACCGAGGGCGTGGCGCTCCCGGCCGCGCGGCGCTCCCAGCTTCCTGAGGGCGGGCGGCGCTCAAGCCCTGGCGACGCAATTCTCTCACACCTGGCAATTTCGCCCAGATCCAGGCCACCGATCCACCTCCTCCTGCTCCCCCCCTCTTCCCCTCCTGCTCCTCCTCCTCCTCCTCCTCCTCCTCCTCCTCCTCCTCCTCCTCCTCCGCCTCCTCCTCCTCCTCCTCCTCCTCCTCCTCCTCCTCCTCCTCCTCCCTCCTTCCTCTCCTTCTCCTCCTTCTCCTCCTT